AACTGATCGATTGGTTAAAATCGACCAATCACAGACACTATTTTACTATTATGCGATTTGGGCCAAATTATGCTTCGTATATGCGATGCTAAAAATTGGCTCATTATGCGCATCGCATCACATCGCATAAAACTGAGGTCCCTAGTGGGGAGGGGGTCACGAATCTCTTATGTAACACAAAGTTCTAAAAATAAAATTATATATAACATAAAAACTGAACGATCATATAAATAAAAATTAGGTTTCGCAAAAGATAAGTTTTATTTCTATTTTATTTTGCTTAAAATTTAATTTATTTATTCAATTTCTATTCCTAAATTTTATACAGGTTTTATCTATTTAAGACCTTATTTACTTTTAGGGTGGGCAAGACGTTTGTGGTTTAAAAGAAAAGCACGTGTAGGAAAGTACTTTTTACATTTTTGCATACAAGATGTGCGTATAGTTCTGCACTAATTGAAGAACAATGCTCATCATACTTCACTAATTTTGCCGAATTTAAATATTGTACAGTATGAATCGGGTTCAAAAAGTGATTGTCTTTGCCTTGAATTACCGGTGGAAGGAAACTATTCGTAGGTTCAAGAAGAGCGAAAACCTCAGGAGCTCGTTTTGGTGAACAGTATTCAGGAACTTCACATTTTCGAATATCCAAAAAATACTTGCACATTTTTGTATGATTTTCAATCCAGGCCCATGGAACTTGTTCAGTATCTTCAATATTTCCAACTTCTGGTTCCTCATATTCATTACAACCCAAATTTGTTTCAAAAACAACTTCCGAAAAAGGCATCGACTGCTCATCAATATATTCACAATAGACTGGTTTACCAAAAATTTTATCACGTTGCCAAATATTGCATAAAGCTTCACCAGCATGCCGAAAATTTTGTAGCCCAAGATCTTTGTTAATTATTTTACCTTGAGAATCAAGGTGGTTGCCAAATGTATCAATACTAAAAGAAATTCTACCTAATTTTTTAGATAAGCTTGCCATAGCTCTCTCAACAGGATTAAACGCAGATTGTCCTGGTGCATTAGTACATATAGTAAGATAATCAAGATCTAATTTTTTGAACAAACGACAATACTGATAAATATTTTTGATAAACCTAGGATTTTCATCTGGACCTCCATCTGTAAGTAATATCCAAACTGGTTTGACAGTATTATTTATTTTGAAAACTTCTTCATACTCTTTCATTGATGAAAGATTAATCAAATCTTGCATATATGTTAAAGAACTTGATCTAATATACCACTGTGGTCGTATATAAATTGCGAGTTGCCCTGTTCTCATTGTGTCGTTTGAATCTGCCGGATTAATTATCAAATAGACGCTTGGAACTAATTTTTGGGATATTCCAATTGGAAAATCATAGTCTTCTAATTCTATAGGTTCAGCAATTGATTGGATTGTTTGAAATGTACGTCCTATAGCGGGTATACCGACATTAACCTTTGCCTTGTCATCTTGGGACACCAAAACTGATATATTAGGGAACGTACTTGCAAATGTCTTTAAAGCTTTTATTGAAGCTAAGCAATAATGAGTATCAACATGTTCTTTTTTTTCACTTCGTGAAACATTAGCTATTCCAATCAATGCAGGGTGGTGGTGAGCTCTGGCTGTGATCGAACTTCTGTTATTTGGCAACAAATAATTGCAAAGCATGCTTATAGATAAGTATTCATTGTAATTATTTTCAAGCTCTTCTTGTAGATGTGCTACTGATCAAACTTTAATTATTTCTTTTCTTCTTTTGGCATCAGCTGCGCCGAATTCGATGGAATTGTGTATGTGTTCAAGAAGATCAGGGTGCTCAAAAATAACTGACGGGCGGCCAGCATGATCATATATGACTACTTCATTTTTCTCTCTTACTCGCTTTTCTTTTCTCAATCTGCATTTTTGTTGATAGTCTGCATTTCACTTAAGTTGTTCTAAATATATATTTTTTTTCTCAAGATCCTTTTTTAGATTATTAATACGAACATAAAGATCCTGATGAAGCTGAAAATCATTGATGGTATCATTTAGAGTAATAAACTCTACTAGCTTTTTTTCAACTTCTTTTATTTGATTAATTACTTCTTTCTGGGCAACGGCATTTGTATGAGAAGGTTCATTTGATTCATTTAATTCTTGAAGTGGTAATTGGGGTGTTGTTTGAGGTATTACTTGGGGTGTTATATTCACATATGAATTATTATTAATTGATTGTGTTGAATATTGTACGTATAGAATAAGAAATCCTTGCAGAGGAACTGGTGTATTAAAAAATTCATCAATTATTCTTTGAATATTGGGATCTTTTTTATATTTTTTCCATTCATTATTTGCATCATGAAACAATATTTCACGATTATAATTGGGATTTTTAGTAAGAACCATTTGTCTATATGCAAAAGCATTGCAAAAACGATGGTATGTAGAGTTTGGTTCTTTATAGCAAAAGTTTTTATTAAATTTTGGAGTTGTAAGATAGGATTGCATCGTTCAAGTAATGTGTAAAAATCATCACTAAAAAAAAATATAAAAATAAATGGCAAATTTTTATATGGGAAACAGCATGTGAGAATTTTGAATATAGGCAGCTTGCACACTTTTTTTATTGCTGCATTTTATGATCGTACGTAGGATGATGCATATATACAATATGAAAGGGGCAATGATTGTTTTATCCAGAGACTTAATCGTAATTCAAATAAACTGCCAAATTTGATGAATCGACTCATGAACTATATGTATATATAGTTAAAACAAATGGCACTTGGTATAAGTATGTATCTTTATTTGAATTATCACATATTTTAATTTTGATTGAAGATCGTTTTCCAATTTGTCTTTATAAATACATTTTTACTCAATTATTTGACTTTCTAATTGATGATCTGCTTTACATCACCGATTTACAACTGTGTCATGTGACAAAAATCATATTGTTTGATTGGTGAATGAGCAATCTAGTAAGCCTTATTTTGATTGGTTAAAATTAGATATCTTATGTGGGGGGAGGGGGGTCACCCTATTATTAAAATTATATTACATAATATCTGCGAGTCCCCTTATTGTAGTTATGCAGTAGAATCGTCCCAATGGTGTTACGGCTTAAGTCTATACATGTTGGCAAAATCCCAAACTATTATAGTTTGGGTTTGGGCGTGCCCAAATCCCAAACTCTGGCCAAACTCATATCTTAAAATTCTTATTAATAATCTTTATTTGAACAATTCAAATATATATTTATAGCTATATATAATATATCTGCAAAATTTTAAGATTATTTTTTTGATTTAATTTTTTATAAATAGCAATTGTATTTTTGGGGTTTGGGATTTGTCCGGGTTTTGCCAACAAGTATACTTAAGTCATAACTAACTAAAAACTTATGTTGTAACCAGTTACGAAAAATCATTGGGATGATTCTACTGCATCACTAGGTCAGTGGCAATTTTTTCAATTGTCTCAGGATTTATAATGTTAGCTGTAAGTTCTTTTTTATATGCAGCGATCATTAAAACCACATAGCTTATTTTGAAAACCAGCCAATAGACCGATTTATGGACCGGTCCTAGACCACGGTCCAGTTCACGGTCCTCTTGTAGGACTGATATTTAGGACCAAGACCGGACCAGGACGGACCGTAGCATCCCTAGTTTTGAGTTGTAATATGGGTTGGGTTATTCAGAAAAGAAATTTTATACGGGCCTAATCTCTAATTAGAATATTATAAACGGATCCGCTTTACTTCACTGACTGACAATCATTTCACTGATAACTCACTTAGCCGACATCAATTTACTAAAAATATATACTTGCAACTAATAAACCGCTAATCCTAACCCTATGTGATGTCGGCTAAGTGAAATTTTGGTGAAATTTTTGTCGGTGAAGTGAAGCGGCTCCGT